TCTATCTTGCCTGTTTTGTAACGATATAAGAGGTTTCAGTCTTGCTACCCTGCTGTACACTCTCTGAGCATGTAACCGACGCCTAGCAATTTTCACAGATACATTCTTATGTGTGAAATTGTTCCACTGTGTTGTCAACTGACAAGCAGTGTCGAACTTTGACAACCTGGACATCAAAATCAGTCGTCGGTCTTAACGGCCAGTATTTTTTCTTGGACGACACATCAGAGGCAATTTGTCTCTTGATCCAGTGTTTCTATACCGAGACCAGACCCTCTGCACGGTTCTGACTGAACAATTCAATTGTATCGATATTCTGACATTGCTTATATTCCGCCTCTTCAGGTTAATAACTTGCACCTTTAACCGTTAGATAATTACCTGTATCTTACCATACTGGAGGAAGACAGGAATAACATTTGCTGTACATGTACAAGACCAACAATACAATTCCATGGTATAGCGGTTTTATACTCATTAGTCACATTATAAGTAGACCAGGCTTTATAAGTACCCAAGATCTGCCTACTTTCATTACTCTGAGTTAGGGGGTGACACTTCTTTTGTCCAGTGTGTGTAGTTTGGCATTTCTGATAAAATATTCGGACGCATGAAAAATATGTAGTTTAACTGATGCTTATTTTACTGTCAGTAAAATAAGCATCAATAATAGTAGTATTCAAATAAGCAAACTAAAGTCGCTCAAAATAAATAAATAAATAAATAAATAAATAAATAAACGCTCTATAAAGAAGATTATCATAATTTTTTAAACGTTATACTTGTAGGATATAAATAAAAGAACAAAACCAGTGATTCAAAGTGAGTAAAACGTTAACACAGCTGGAAGTTTTACATTTGTGACAGGAACGTATGTTCCATTTTGGGGTTAGACGATGAAAATTATTTTTTATTATTCACGGTTCCAGGAAAGTGAAACTTTGACACAAACTTGTTGTTGTGGGACCCTAAAATAATCAAACATAATTTGTAATCTGTGCACTAAATATTTTTATTAGCATTTCTGTGACCTCAATTGCCACTCATCCCGGTATATTGGTTTTTGGTGAAAAGTCATTCAAGTCTGAGTGATAAAATAAAATGATAAGTATGTTACACAAAATGTAATTTGATATATGTGGTGAATGTCACGGATAGATTGAAATTAAAAAAGAATAAATAATCTTTAGGTAAAAGACATGCATTTTCTATTTTTCTCGATTTGAATTTTTGCAATTGATTTTTTTCAGTCGGATGATGGTCCTAAAGGGTGTAGAGCAATACGGAAGCATCTCCCGGAAGGTGGAATGGCGATCAAGGATTTTACTTACACGGTGTCGAGGATTCTGTCTACATAAATGCCATACAAGTGAAAGTGCTAAGAAATCACTAGGGATATCCTTTGAACCCAACACTATTTATTCATTATTGTAATAGCGAAGTCCATTCATTTGTCTGCATGTGGGCGATTTTTTTTTCATCCGTAAGTGATTTATGCCAGTTGTGACACTGCAGTTTGCTGAAAATGACAGATACTAGAGAAGGGGGAAGGGGGGGGCGCCCCTCCTCTGATTTCGGAGGTATCCCCGTCTTCCAGCTTCCCCTCCCTAAAATAAGGAGCAAAACGAGATATAACCAAGCAAATTTCCACAATTGTACCCCTATGTATCTTGGAAAAATGCCATCTACAGTACTGTTTTACATTTGCTTGTTTAGCATGGCAATTTTTTATCCTTCTGCAAAATTCTGGATCCACCGGTAATTGTGTATTTAGTTAAATAGTCATTATGGAAAAGTAAATTCGGCAGGATATTAATCACCACAGAAATAATGTTCGAAAAGACCTAGTACCAATACAATATGCATTTTTCAAGCAAGAAACTATTAATGGATGAAAAAGTTAAAGACATGTCATCTGAGTATGTCTATTATGTAACAATGCGGCCATAATTCAATGCGGCCATATCCATTTTACATCACGAGGTCATATGCTGATAGAGTTTGGAATAAACGTAGGGTCCAGGTAGGGATAAGACGGGAAGCGGCTCTTGTTTTTTTCTGCGATTTGTTTGCCCAGTTGCGCCAGTTCTAGCCTAAACCTGAAATTACAAATGGAGAGGGGTACACAGTGGACACGTATGAAACAGGATGGATTGTTATCTCTTGGGCCATTTTNGAAGTGTCGTGATAAAAGAATTAAAATAATCCATAATGGTCGGTCCAACCATCTGCCCACTGGCACGATACCTGTAACTACACCTGGAAGCAGAGAGGATGAGCCACCGTTATGTAGTGTCTGCATGTGGGCATATGTACTCTAATCTGAAGTAAGCCGCGCGCGCCCGAGCGCACACACATACACACACACACGCACACACACACACACAGGTTAGAAATTCAAAAATAAAGTGATCTGCACAAGTAATGAAGAAATCATCACAAATCAATTAACAAATGAAGCAGTGATAAATTTACCCAAACCGGATTCACTCCTGTCATAATAACACTACAACTTCGTGACCGTGACTTACGTTGCATAAACAAATCCATCCGCAGGCGGGTCGTGGATCCTGTATTTAATTCGAGTGACCACACCAAACGTGCTGCCTCCGCCGCCGCGCAGAGCCCAAAACAAGTCGGTGTTAGTCGAAGTATTGACCACTCCGTTCTTGTCGACCAGCACGGTGGACGATGAGGTCAGGTTGGCGATGTATCCCTCGGCAGTCACGACCGTGATTTCCAGGACGTTATCCACGGCAAGCCCGAGTTTCCTGGTGAGGGGGCTGTGACCGCCCCCCAAAGTGTACCCCGCCGGAGAGACCGTCTCCGAGCTGCCGCCAACGATGAGTTTGTTGTATTTCCCACTGACCTGGAATAAACATTTTGAAAGGCATACAATGCACGTTATGCCTTTTATATAGAAAAAACAATGTGCGTTAGACCTTTTATATAGAAAAGACTAATACATCTAAAGAGGGTCTCTAACAAAACGTACTCGTCATTAGTTAAACGGGTTAAAACCAAATACAGTGGAAATAAAAGACTGCACAAGACATGCATCTGGGGGTATGCAGCTGATCATAATGAAAAACCACTGCCAAAATATGGCATTATATATTCATTCTTTAAGCCTTTGATTTGACCGTTGAATTACTTTAATTTGACTGCGATGTGATAATTATCTTTTACAACTGTCATAATTTCAATATAATTTTTGATGTAATTCACGCCGACCTCCTCGTATATTGCCCCCCAGAAGTTCCCCATCTCTGTGGTGGCAGACATCCCAGTGTCGCTGGCCGAGTCATTGAGGTTCACTTTGAGATACTTCATCTTGCTCATGTTGATCTGTATATTGTTGGCGGCGGTGTTCCTCCCGATGTAATCGTGGCCGGAAGACACCACGGAGATCCTAATGTTGAATTCGTTGGCGAAGACAATCACCTTCTGGACATCCTGGTCGGTATAGGGTTCAACGATGATGGCTGTAAAAGATGCAGCACACATGGAATACAAATTTTCTATAATCCCTGAACGTTTATTATTTATTTATTTATTTTTTAATAAACATCAACACATTAGGTCTTCTTTACCTCATTTATGCATTAATCATTCACTACATTTTTCATTTTAGCATTTTTATGTTTCTGATAATTAACGAGTTGTGGATTCAATAATTTCACCACTTTATCAAAACATTCAGAAAGAAAATTTGTTGACTGGATTATCTTGCAATTGTGTAAATGCTTAAGGCTGCAAAACGTGTATTTTAATATCTAAAGTTAAAACTTTCTTTTCTCAAACAACACACATGCCGGTTGATAAGCACACGGGAGATTTTTTTGGGTATAATAATTCTTTCTGTCACTTCTTTGTTTTGCATCTTTGGATCTTTCAATTTTAGAAATCGACACTTTTTACTTAAGCATAAATCTGGTTAAAAGTTAAGTTTATGAAAAAATTACAACAAAAAATAATAAGATAAAAACTACAGGCTATAAACACAACAATCACTCCAATAACAAAAAAAAACAAAATTTTTCCTTACCGGGTTTTTCAGCATATCGTGTATTGTAAACGACTTTCGCTATTGCAGAAAAATTGGTGTCGCCTGTAAGATAAAGCTTTCCGCTCAATGACGCCTTCAGCTGTGCTTGTCGCGAGGAACTGGGCCAACAAGATTCGTCGGACGTGCAGTAACCATGGCACAATCCAAGGTTCGCCACAAACACAACAAATAACGGCACAATCATAGTTTACGATACAAAATGTACCGAAAGTATGCAAGTACCACCTTTTCGTGGGGAATCTGAAATAATAATAATAATTAAGAATTACGTTGTTGACTCGAAGCACATTGGTCCTCTTTTTAAATATATGGTTTGAAACGAAGTAAAGACATTTCTTAAATTTTAATTGGTTTTTGGTCTACCTGGAGTTATATTTCCGTTTTAAAATTAGATCTACTCTTGAACACTTCACCTTCACCTCAACTTGGACTGCATGCGAATCGTCTTATTTGCATGATCAATAAAAGTATTTTGCATGTTCTATTCCATATGCTTTGGCACATTGCCAGATTCTTCAAATTGCAAACTCATTTCAAAGACTGGCGCTTCGATCCCCACAAAGTAAACTGTTTGAATATTGGCTTCCTATTCCAATGAAAGAGCTCGACACGCAAAGTACATGTAAACAAAACGCCTTTTTTTAAGTGTCGGTTTAATTTTAACGTTTGCAACGTCATGAAAAAAAAAATAATGGTTTTACTTGCCCTGCCCTGGATCCATATTACGAAGTATGCAGTCAGGGATGCCTAGAAGGCTTTATTTTGGCTAACATGTAACTATAACTCAATATAGATATAATTGATACCCGATGCAAATGTATATGGGCATGATTGGCACTGCCATCTTAATTAGCTTAAATTTGTTATTTGAATAATTACAACAACTTGTACAAACATTAATCCTAAGCACTCACGGTAGGCCTAAAGATGGAGTAAAAATACTGGCTTTTTGAATATTTTCATGAGGTAGGGCCTATAAACAGACATAAAACAAACAAATCAGTTAATAAATAAGCTAACATTTATACAATTTATCTCTGGCATTTCATTTTACAACCAGTTGCAAAATAACTCTCTACCAAGCAAGTCAGCAGATTAACTGCGTGTACTTATCTCCAGCGCTATAACAGTGGAAAATGTGCCATGTAATAGGCAGAGATATAAAATCTGTTAATATCTAGGGAAAATCAATCTGTAGCCCAGGTAGAGGGTATAATAAAATGCTGTGGGTTGCGAAATGCGGTGCTTTTAGAGAGCATTCACATCGAGAAGAGCCGAGGTCTAGTAAGGCCGAGACCTAAATATGGCGGACCTACATGAAAGGAAAACCGCGTAATCCTTTAATGGTCTCTCAATGCATGTCACTGAATGTCATTGAGAGACCATTAAAATTAAAGGTCTCGGCCTTGCTAGACCTTGGCTCTTCTCGATGTGAATGCTCTTTTAGTAGAGGCGCATTTTTAAAAACCGCAACGGAATTTGCATGCAGTTTCTTCTTTCCTGTTTTCCGAGTACAGTGTTTGTTACCGTTCGAAGAACAAAATAATATAAGAACACTTTGGAACTGCATAATTGCCCAAGGCTGTGGAGCTGACACAGTGCATCGGTGCGGTTTCATTATGTTTGCCGCTCGTGTATGTAATATAAATCTAAAATATCCAAAATCACCAACGGTCTTTTTTCCAGGCCGAAAAGCTCCTTGTAAAAACATTTCACCCACGTAATGGCAACTTTATAGACCCTTTCACAGCCGACACAAGCACTTCTTACAATAAAACAACTGTCAACAAATTAACTACCAACATTTGCATTTTTACGTCAAAATGCTTTTTTTCTTACCCATCCGTAAATGAACTGCTCGAAACGCCCATGACGTCATGTCGTTCGAGAGCCCGTGACACGTTTATATGTTTCGCAACAAAATATCACTGCCTAAGTCTAATAATACTAGATGTCATCATTTTGCTTTTTTAATAAACTCAACACCCTAGTTATAACAAGTAGACAAACAATAACATTTCTTTCGCTGGAATTCAGTATATTTTGAAGAGCTGATGGGGGAGATGTATACATTATTTATTCATAATGGAGGTAATTGTGGTTTCGACACTGCCATAATTGTGGAACTGACACTGAACACAGGTCTTTTCTGAACTACCCGGGGGTATTTTCCACGCTACGCACCACGTGTTCATGCTTTCTCCATCCTACATTGACACATACCCTCAATATTATGTCCTTTGTTATCAAGTACCATAGAATTTTTTGTAAGTGAAGACTTTACAGTTAAGCCAATATAATTATCACCGATCGATTAACGTGCAGCTTTTTCATAGATAATTTGAGGCCATGGCTTAAGTATACGTGTAGATCGACTATAAAGCAATATATTACAGTGTGTACAATGGTGACCTAAAAGTCGATATTTGTTTTGAAGGACATATAAACTGTCATCTCTCTCTCTCTTTCTCTCTCTTTTCACGCAGACCCTGGCGTTTAAGCAACTGATATTATCGAGAAGCCATAACTGGCCGTGCCAAGACTGTCGAAGCGTCACCCATGCATACAGCCCCTGAACAAATGCCTCTCACCTGCCATGATCACCTGTTCTCACGCCAACTGACCACAGCTTTCAGCGGTCACTTACCTTCGGTATTTTGATTGCCTCACCAAACACCGTCTTGTTATGCAGATCCTTTGTGTTAGCCTCAGTAGAAGAATTGGCACTGCTGTTGTAATGTATGTGACAACCTAATGGATGATACTAGGCGTGGCAATGCTGATAAGAAGAAGAGACTCTCTGCACTACCGATCTTTTTCCAACACGTATATACAGCAAATCAGGTGACCTGATAAAGCAGCGGAGTTACAATTTCGCAATGCTGCGTTGCTATTAATAGCACATTGTGTTTACAATGAATTAAAAGGTATTCTTACCTGGTTTGACCCCTTTTTATCGATCGGCGTATCAGCCCCCGTCCAATATTTTGCAACACCTTGAAATGTTGCTATTGCGCGAGGTAAACGCACCCGAGTTTCATAGGGCGCTGAAAACTCACATCTCCGTCATCAGCAAGTCTGTGCCGTTTCCAACATTCGCTTAACAGAGAGATAACTTTTCAGTGACCTCCAGAACTAAAGGGGGGGGGGGGGGGGCACGCATCGCAATGGTGCTTGGTTTCACGAAAGGCAAAATGGGTGACGATGTTATGTAAATATTGCCACCGTGAAATATTATTGTTGTAAAGTAAAGGTTATGGAGTAAGCCAACATGATACACACATATTTCCATGACGATCCGGCTGTTCTACGTATTTTGGGGTTGTGAGATAGAGGGGAGTAGACATTTCAAAACTTAAAGGGATAATATAACAACTGTTCATTTTGACCAAAAAATGAATTTTCCTGGGGTAAAGCACAATTTCCCCGTACTTACCAATGGTTAATGAATCCCTTCCGACATTCAAAGTTAGTCCCTGTTTTTTTCTTAAGAGTTTGGTTTTTTATAACATTTTCTTAAGAGATTATTACGGAGTTTAGCCATCTATGGATTTCAAGTAATGTGGGCGCAAGCACAAATTCCAGAATTATTGCGTTAACTGCCGTTCTGGTGGTGAAATAGATTTTATTATATTTCAATGACTTGTTTAAAATGTATTGTGAAACATGGATTTCATACGAACAGTTGTTATCCCTTTGAATATGTTTTTAAAATGTTATTGAAGAATTAGGCTTACCTTAAATGCAAAAGCATTACCATGTTATGCGAAAAAGTAATCATTTATTTATACGTGGATGTACATGTGTGGTATGACAGTCAGCACACACAAGTCGAGGTTTCATAAAAAAAAAAAAAAAAAAAAAAAAAAACGGAAAAAATACAAAAGCCCACAAATACCAAGTATGGGTCACCTTAAGATATAAAAAATTTAAATCAATTACAAAAACGCTGGGGATATGGGCTGAACAACAAGCCCCTGCAATCATTTTGTATTGTCCGTCTGTCTTTTTTCCCAACCACCTATCTCTCTCTCTCTCTCTCTCTAGCTCTCTCTCTCTCTCTCTCTCTCTCTCTCTCTCTGGCAGACCTGCACTCGCGCCCGCACACATACACTCGAGGAGCGAGAGAACCTATATTTGTATAGCACTACTATTGTGGGGAGTTGGCAAATGCCTTACCAAGACTTATCTTGAGGTCAAGACAGATTTAGGGCGCATTCCCAATGAAACTATTGTTTCCTGTATATCGATCCAACTCCGCGGGGACATTAGCTGAATACAATCAGATTGGCAAATCAACACCCCTCCTGTTACGCCTCCTGTTTTCAACGTACTCGTATAATCACCAATTTTTTTTTCGTATTCTACTTAAGGCCAAGAGGAGGCGTGTTAATCTCTGAATCTGACTGCATTCAGCAAGAGTCCCCCGCGGAGTTGGATCGATCTACGTAGAGCAATGGTTTCATTGGGAACGAGCCTTTAGATATCGGAATTTGGTTCAAATGTTTTCAGAGTCAATAACTGGGACGCTCACGTTTTCCCCTTGCCAGAGTAAACGAGTTTGCAGACCAGAAACGGCATCGAGATGGCAGAGCTTAACTTGTCAAATGAAATTTTTGCAAATTTCGTGTTTTATGCCGCGTTGGTGGTGTTGAAAATGATGCTGATGTCTCTTCTGACGACCGCGAAAAGGATGGCTACAAACGTAAGTACGGAGTTATGGCATCTGACCAGTAAATAGCTGTGGTATAATTATTATTTTTATAAGTTCTAATAGCGTTCATAATCATATTGTAGCTTTGCACCGCGATGGTTTTGTATTAGGTTCATTATCATAGATATGTGAGTATATGGATCCATGGTCATACCATTCGCCCCCGTTAAAAGGCTTTTTAAAACATTCACAAACGCCATATTTTAAGTGGAGTAACCTAGCTAGACCCATTTCTGTACAGCATCAGTTCGAATGGTTCTTATATGTAAGAATCTACAAGAATTTATTTCCATTTTCAAGCCACGATGTAACACTCAAATTAATCCCGGGGGTGGGGGGTGGTGGTTGCTGTCCGTTTATGTGACTCTGCCACGTAATAACCAGACTACTAAGTTGTCAACATCTGATCGATGTGAAAAGGGACGTTTTCATAACATCCATGTGTGCGACTGAACATTGAACTGATAACCTATTTTCATTTCACTTCCACTACATGGCCAATGCGCGAGTCACAGAAAGTATATCCCAAGATAATTTAATGCACAGAGTCCGGCTTGGTGTTAAATAAAAATAAATTAACACATCAAGGGGTTATCCTTGAGCAGACTAACGCGTCTCCTCGTTTCCAACCTACCAGCTTATATATATATATATATATATATATATATATATATATATATATATATATATATATATATATATTACTTTATCTCTGTACATTTTCCCCAGCTCAGTCTGGTGCAGAAAGTATGAATAAAGCATATATAATAGGCCTATATATCCTCCTTTTGCTCCCGGACACCGGTAACACTTAACACTTAAAATGCATCAAGACACGGAAATAATTTCAGCCTCCGGACACCTGACAGCGTCATCTAACCCGCATAACTTTCTGACCTACTTAAAGAGGCTGATGTCGTCCGTTACGACATTCACCTCGTCACTTCATTGTCGTTCACAGTCCCTAGGGCCGACCTGGATCCGGATATCCTGCATTACATTCCACGCTGACTCGGCAACTTTTTAGTATATAAAGAGACTACTACGAACCGGGGATAGGTAAAACTTGTATACCTTGAAGAAGCTGCTCAAAAAGAAGAAAACATGGGTTTGCTGGAGTTGGATAACGAAGTATTTGCTGGGTTTGCCTTCTACGCAGCACTATGCCTGCTCAAAATGATGGCGATGTCTCTGCTGACGGTCAGGAATAGGATATCTAAGGACGTAAGGCTTCACTTTATTTTTCTAAAATACGATCATTGTAGTTTGAATAGTTCACCACCGATTCACAGGTAACTTAAAATGCAAATTTGGCTTGCTCAAGGGATAAGAAATTAAAATATTAAACATTTCTAGTCGTTGTTACTTATTATTTCTTAGATGTATTTTTATTAATTTCACTAGCTCTTAGTGATCATTGATATGAATGTATTATGTAAATATTTATCGTACTGTGCGGTATTGTTCTATTTGACTAAGAAACGAGGATTTAAACCATACCAAGCTGCTCAATGTTGCACATCAAGGAATTGTAAAATTCGTAATCACCACATCTGACTGACCTATTTCTACTCTGTACTCTCAGTGTAGCAGGCCAAAGCCCACAGGGGGTGACCTGCAAACTAAATAATAACATTGCGTTCCTTTCAGCATATAACAATAACGATATAGGCCTAACTCTTGTCGTTCATACATGATGTGTTATTCGAAAATTAAGGCAGCTCATATTGCAGAGGCCACATTGAGAAGAAAGCCATTGGAAGAATGTGCATGAGAATGACCGATATATTTTACTGTTTTTACTAACTTTACTAACTTCAACTGTTCACACATTTCTTGGCCGAAATTTCTCGTACACTGGTGGACATAGCATTTTAAGGGGGTGGGGCCCACCCCTTCCCGCCCATTGATTTGAAAACGTGTTCGTTCATGTACAGCCCGTACAATTATGAATGACTTTTTTCTAAGGAATTTAGCTGTTTTGAAAAGGGGTTGACGACGGCTTGGGGGATGGAAGGGGGGGGGGCGCCTGGGCCTGCTTTGCCTCTTCCCGTCCGGTATATCAGACACTTTTATGAAAAAGATATTTCATTGATTTAGTCGATGCAGTAAAGCGGACGCGCATCCATTCGTGACACAAGTGGCCTATACAGGATACGACATTCACAGTTGAAAAACGCCCAAAATAACTCATTGTATAATACGCGCTGGAATATATGGGTAACTGCCAATGTGGTGTATAAAATTCCTTACTCGCATTTTAAATTATACAATTATCGACATTGGTTGAGGATGATATGTTGTTTTGCTCCTCGGTCGATATCACTTTTACGAGATCAGCAAAATAAACAAATTGACCTCAACCAAAGTCGAAAATTGTATTATGTATGACTTTATCGTATTTTATGCCAACTATATAATACTATAAAATACATGTACTCATATGGTGTTTGACCTTGGACTAATCATTTAAATGAAAGTTGGTGGTAAGCCCAAAACTAAATTTTTCCCAAATAAAATCAGACTGTAAAAGGTGGAAAATTAAGTAAAAGTTTTTGTGGGTGTTGGTCCATAAAAGAAGAATCCCGGCGCTAAGATAATTACAGCTGTAAGCCTTGCCATTAAGTCATTTTATATTTTTAAACCGGATCTGAGAATAAAAGTGTTTTAATAAGGATATAAAGAGGGGGCAAAAGAACGTGTTGCTCTCCTTCTGTTGAATAATATGAAAAAGGGCTACTATCGATTCACCTATCACCGGCGACGTCTAACCCTAAAAACATATAGTTTTAGAATCCGCTGAAGCGCATTTAAATTTGATTTTATTTAGAGTTGACAAAGAATTGAGCTTTATCAGCTATTTGCCGATTCCGACCAAATCGCATGCTGCGATTTCTTTTTCTTTTCTTTAGAAAAAGTTCACTTCCGCCAAGTTTTCCTTTTATTTCGCTAATGGAGTGGTGCGATTTGGAGTTATATTCTAAATAGCCCACCGTTTACACCATTTTAATTTGCTTTCGTGTCGGCAATTGTGCAGATTCTTTACATTGATAACCAGTAATGATAATGTAGATGATGCACAGTCACTGGCTATCATAAATCTCGCAGCCAGCTTGGTCCCAAAGCTAGATGATGGGAATGCTATAATGTAAATAACTGATACATATCTCCATCTTTTCTTGACGTCACTACATCCGGGTAATTTCAGTGATAAAAAGAGATCATGACAATGATTTACGATGATTCATTTTACTCAAGCTTTCTTTCCTGTAGAAAGGAAATGTTCAATTAAGAAAAGAACACCAAATATCTGTGAAAGGTGAGATGCGGAAAAGGGCCATGATACTTCAGAAAAATACGCATAAAGGAAAGTGTCTTCTTAAAATTAGAAAGGACCCAACACGGGGACTATAATGGTGTCGTTTTCACACCATCTCACACACAGTTTTCACCGTAAATACATTTTCAAAACAACAACTAATATGAGATGTTTTGGGAAAAAGTAACGTGTTACTCTACTGACTCCACCCCTCCACCTTCCCGTCATCTTCCTCATTGCTTTTTTACGAGGCACAGATAAGCTGTGACAAATATTTCCTGGGCGAATGGTATGACCATATAAAATTTGACCATTGTATTATTTAAGTTTTGTAAATGGCTCTTGAACAATTAATTTGTCTTTTATGCTCTGGAAAGTGCACCCACTTTAGAGCACAATGAAATTACTTAAACACCACAGTATAGAATTCTATTAAGTAGTAAAGTGTGTAATTAGATACTGGAATAACGTCAGACCAGAGTTTTGTCCGTTTCTCAGGTATTCGTCACTCCAGAGGATTGCGCTTCCGTAAAAAAAGGACTCAAACCCATTTTTGGCGATGAGAGAGTTGAGCGCGTACGGAGGTGAGGGTATTTAATTTGGTGTCATCATGGTAATTTGACCACTTTGGTTTGGACCTTCAGGGGCAACTGTGGTCACGTAACAAACCTCATTTCAAATATGTGACAGGTCTCTCTCTCTCTCTCTCTCTCACAAGCGGCAAATAGATGTTGCATAGCGTTTTATAGGTTACCAAAAAAAAAAAAAAAAAAAAAACCCGACAAATGACGTACATACAATATCAAGATCATTGCCCTGACAAGGATGGGCCGACGGTAATTTGAGTGATGCGGCGCGAATATTTCTGGTAGGTTTTCGTAGACGCGAACGGAATTTTTGATACAAAGGTATGAATTCGAAAACGACAACCGTGGGAAAAAATCTTCTGAAGTGCCTTGTTATTTAGGCCTTCACAATGTACTGGTGTGTATTTATTTCTAATTCCAAAGAAAATGTTTGTATTATTAAATTGTTACAACCAACACAGCGGAGGAGGCCAGCTAAGTAATGACGTCAACTATGTGTAAAATTCGCGTTGGGAAGCGCAGAAAACTGCAAATTATTAGCCCGGGAAAAGCTGATAATAAATAGTCAAAAAACAATCTGTGGTCTTTGCAGAAGTTGTCCTTCATGTACTACAAGTATCTTTTGAAACTAACTTGAGCCTAACCTAATTAGCCTAATTGATACCTTTCGGGTTTTTTCAGGGTGTCTAGGAGACAAACAAACAAAGTTCATATCCCTATAATTCACGTTTTGATATTTTTTGACTGTTTAGGTTAGCTTGCGTATGAACTTGTTTGCATTTTATTTTACTCACAAACTGGACCACTTTGGTATTTAAGGTGTATGCAAACCCAGAAGACTTGAAATTATCAGAGAAAAAGGATTTGAAAACAAACCTAAATGACCCGGATGTCGAACGTGTCAGAAGGTATGAGGTCAAGAGCGAGGATAACTTTGACTGTTATTGCTCAATTTTTTTACGTTTTAGTTCTTTTGGTAAAATGGCCCTTTCATCTGCGGCTTGTTGATAACCACATGCCTTTTTGCAGCCACTAATATGCATGGGGCTTTATGCATTGTATTTTTTCTACTAACATCACCAAGGGCGTTACTAGGCATTCGCACGGATGCACGGTGCGTTCATTTTTTGGCCAACAATTTTATTCCCTCTAAATTTAGCATATTTTACACGGATCTAGATTAAGTGTATTTTACATCGCAAATCCCCTTCGATTGTTTGTTCAAGTAACCTTTATGTACAAATCCATTATATACACCCGTCTACTAGATGCTTTTAAAACTAAATGCATGTAGCATTGCAAAATGAACATAACTGTGACAGAACAGATGCTACGCTTACGTTATACATGTATGTCAAAATTCACCTAACACAAAAATTGCATGTCTGCAATATATTGCATCCCAGTTAGTAAAATCGACTAACACGCTTCTCAACTAACACAACGTAAAATCCGTGCATACCCAAATCCAGTCGCTTAATGTGTCCGATCTCGGGGTGGCAGTATCCCGTGCGACTAGTGATCGGTATTGGTTTAAATGTAAGTAGACTTTATGTTATGAGGCTGTTCGTAAATCAGTATTTTTTAAATTTTATCTATGTAGTGAAAGAAATGCTCGTGTTATCCCTGTCACACATCCATACTGTAGGCCCACACTCAGACACTCAGACACTCACACACACACACAAAACGAAAACATTTGAGAGTTTTAAATTAAAGTAACACCAATATCTTAAGGTAAATGAAGTTTTCTCCCCTTTTTTATATAATTGTAGGCCTACAATCCCTCGCGTTTTAAGTAAGTGTACATTTCCAAGAAATTTGTCCCTTGTATTGGTACAAATACAACTGTAAGTAGGTTCTGGTTGTAGGCCTAGATGATTTGTATTTTATCCCGAAACTAACAATTAGATTTACAGACCCGCAGAAACAGTAGGAGGAAAAGGAAATTGTTTTGGGATGGAGGTGTAGTACTAGTGGCATTCTAATATAGAAAATACGATGTTGTAAGAGGGGTGGATGGAAATAACAAATACAGTATCTGTTACATTGTCAATTATATGTTATATATTTTACTCCAGAAACCATCTCAATGACATCGAGAATATCATTCCATTCGTTTTGGCCGGAGTCCTCTACGTGCTGATCAAGCCAAACCCCTGGGTAGCACTGATGCATTTCCGTACATTCGCCTTTGCCCGATTTGCCCATACAGTCGTGTATCAATTCGCTGCCCCGCCTCCGTCACGCTCATTGTGTTTTCTGATTGGTTACTTCACCACTATCTCCATGGCTATACAAGTTGTTATGGCGACGTTTTAAATCACTAGGGAGTGACCAAAGACAAGTTTTTTTTCTTTTTGAAAGAAAGAGCAGTGTCCGATTAATGAGTTATCTTTGGAGATGAAGCGTTTTGAAAAAAAAGGATGGCAAAGCAGTTTGAAGGACATGGCACCTCATTTCTGAGTAATATTTTTTTATTGTTTTTCAAGTGTAGCTATTAACTAAAGATATTTCAGAAAAAAAACATATAGGCTACTGGACTAGTATATCCAGATGTTTCACTTTTGATCCATATGTTTAGAAGTAAAAGAAAAAAATCAGTATCTTTTATAAACAGATGAAGTTTGTTCGATGATGTAGTATGCATTGCCTATAAAATACTTCACAAAAATACTGCACAACTTTCTTGTCTGAAAGATAACCATTTTAGTGTGAATAATTGTAGTTTCTGCTACAGACAATATAAACTGTAAATGTTTGTTACTATGACTGACAAGAAAAAATAAAGCTCAGATGCAAAGATTGATTTATTCATTAAATATTCGACTTTTATCAACTTTATTTACTGCAAGGACACGGCAATCATTTTTCATTGACTTCAGCGCCCTCTAGCACTGATTACTGGAAGATTACCTTGAATGAACCCATATAATTTGAATATTTGTGATGTTAAAAGCAAAGAAAGGTTGTCGGGGACAATGGAAAACGATAACAGAATCTTGAAGAACAGCTTCAGCTGAGTTATTACTATTCCAATATTACAGCTGTTGCATTCATGTGACACAATTAATAAAACACTTTGCTGGACACTTTGCTGGACACAAAAGAAGTACTCGAGCTGTCTGCGTCTAGCTAGACATAAGAATCAATTCCATTTGTGACTGTTCCTACTTTCAAGGGGCTTTGTTACAATTTGTCTCGGATCCGTATGTTCTAATAAATTTCTGAAATTAAAAATTAATATTCTTTCAATTTGAGCACGATCAGAGGTATAAATAGTCTACATGATGATTTCGCCAAAAGTAATAACATTTTTATCTTGTTAATAAAGAACCATGCGTTATAGGAATATTCACACTTTATTTATCGTTACAGCTGTACCTCTTTTTGTTACTTTCTCTTCGAGAGCACTTACTCTGCTTCTGACTTTCACAGATATTATTATGTTCAGTCAGCATAGCGTGTAAAACCTCTTGCTCCACTAACAAGCGCATTGTGTATCGACGGTCGCGTGCTTACTTCTGAGTGAACATTCCCAAATGAACTTTCGACCTGGAACGTGGTCGGTTTAATTTTCGATTTCACGTATGAACTGTCACTCAAAGTGAAATGAATCTGGCAATCAGCTATTATCTGTAAATGTCAGAAATCCCTACAGGAACAATATTAGTATATTACATGTGCATGATAATGGTTCATGTGGTGCTCAACGTGACACACTGAATCTGAAATACNACAACTTCGATGATTGGATTTGGTTCTCCCCCTCTTCGACGATGAGCCTGTGCGTGTGTGTGTGTGTGTGTGCGCGCGCGCGTGTGTGTGTGTTTAGTGTATGTGTAGGGGAGGGTGTTCACGTAGTCCTGCCATACATTGACAAGGTACCGATATTATTTTAAAAATTAATTGTAGCTTAACTCGTAAGTCAAGGGTGTGTATATTCTATTTTCATTTCCATTTGCTTGAAGCTGTAGGCCTATTTGTCGTTCAGATTCCATTTTTAATTCAAAATTATCCTGCCTTTGTTCTTTTCATTAATTTTTCTTGTATTAATTCTGAAAAGTAATTTTTTATTTTTAGGTAACAATAGCTTTGTTATAGATAGAGTCATCCAGATTTGTTCATGATTCTCTAAATTAGTGACAATACCGTCGACAAGAATGCCTTAATTAAACCCATTCTCTAGCGCGTGGTTTCCTACGTAAGGACTCCTATTTACGGCTTTGATATGCACTGTTTGAACTTCGTCGCTTCGGACTGCGACTGAAGTACAGACTTGACATTTAATATGGAATATTTTTTTCCAAATCATTTTTCATCAGTTTTTACCTATTTTGCTGTCTGATAAATGAAAATAAGGATTAAAATCATGTTCTAATAACTTTTAATTATCTCTTTGATGTCATTGTGACATCAGTTCATTAATAGAATTCGCCAGAGAAGCAAACAAAAACACATTGCCTTTTCTACTTCATACGACAACCTTTAAAGAGATATTTTGGATCTCCATATTTTCCAAATTATTGTCTGTAAAAGAGTTACACGCTCCACAAAGGACCCTCATGTCAGTGTCTAGTCACAGTAACAGTCGCTGTTACGTCTGACCTCTTCTGGCTGCTTCCAGTGCTCTCAATTGGCAAGGCATTCCTGGGGATAGGTTTTTAGAGTTAAATCTGGAATAACATTCCAGGGATGGGTCAAAATCTGTCCAATTTGGTCCAGTTTTTTTGTAGGACATGTAGGCCATTCATTTGGCGAGTGATGGCCTACCCACATATTGTCTACGTGGTTCAAATATGGCGGTTTTGATGACCAAGGTAGCTGTTCATTCCCTTGGTTCTCTAAGTAATCTGTTATTAAAAGTGCTCTATGTAAACCGGCAATCTCACCGTACAACCTAAAATTGTTCCTAGGGTGCCCCCTATCAAATGATAGTCAAGTGGTTCCCAGATTATTCCTTTATTTAATCTGGTTCAGGTTTTCGTCGATGACTCCCATTGGTGTTTTGGCACCAATGTGGTATCCACTTCAAATACTGACGCTGTTAATGACCTAAGTCACTTTAAACGCGGCACACACTTCGTCATTGGCCTCTTCTGGATGTCTGTAAACTCTGTTTTGATTAGTTGAGCGGTACAGGTGAAATCTGACCTCAATAAAGAAAGCCACGAGGTTTTATTGTTCATCCCAGAAACGGTCAGGGTCCCCAATTCATTAGAGAAACATACAACGATGTTTTGCTGTTTACAGTAGGTTCCTCGGAGGTCGTCTGGTATTCTAACCTGCTAAAACCAGTTTGGTGTTCGCTAAGGGCCTTGAAAAATGCGTTTTGGTGGCAATTTACCCCTCATTCTGAACGGACTGGGTGGTTTTTGTTTAGTTGCAACACCATATCCTGAAAGACAGTGGGTCCTGTACTCTGGTGGTAAGATTTTAATACATTGGGTGTGGCCTCTATGTAGGTACATCAGTCTGGGCATTACACTATAAAACTGTATGGACCGTTTCGTTTGGCGCAATTAACTGTCTGGCAATCTCTTTCTTTTTCGCGCCATTTTGCCACAGATTAACAAATTTGTAAAGCACTGCATAACTCATTTTACACACTGTAAAACCGACCACTTGCATGCAAAATTTCAAATTCTTCTATGCAGTAGTTGCCGACATATGGATACTTTTTTGACAGAAGCATGCTTTGCCAAAGCCAAGCTTTGACCTGCCCAAAGGAGCACTACCCAATTAAATTACTGCATATTACATAATGCAGCAGCGTAACAAACCTGGTATTCTGTTAATTGGAAGCGACACACCTGACTACACACTTTTCCATTCACATGCCTTATATGAGATCGCAGTTTTTTGAAAAAAGAACGCATTTCTACCTAGGCGTACCCTCAAAATTGAAATATTCCATATTAAATGTCAAGTCTGTATGTGTAAAATTCGCGTTGGGAAGCGCAGAAAACTGCAAATTATTAGCCCGGGAAAAGCTGATAATAAATAGTGAAAAAACAATCTGTGGTCTTGGCAGAAGTTGTCCCTCATGTACTACAAGTATCTTTTGAAACTAACTTGAGCCTAACCTAATTAGCCTAATTGATACCTTTCGGGTTTTTTCAGGGTGTCTAGGAGACAAACAAACAAAGTTCATATCCCTATAATTCACGTTTTGATATTTTTTGACTGTTTTGGTTAGCTTGCGTATGAACTTGTTTGCATTTTATTTTACTCACAAACTGGACCACTTTGGTATTTAAGGTGTATGCAAACCCAGAAGACTTGAAATTATCAGAGAAAAAGGATTTGAAAACAAACCTAAATGACCCGGATGTCGAACGTGTCAGAAGGTATGAGGTCAAGAGCGAGGATAACTTTGACTGTTATTGCTCATTTTTTTTACGTTTTAGTTCTTTTGGTAAAATGGCCCTTTCATCTGCGGCTTGTTGATAACCACATGCCTTTTTGCAGCCACTAATATGCATGGGGCTTTATGCATTGTATTTTTTCTACTAACATCACCAAGGGCGTTACTAGGCATTCGCACGGATGCACGGTGCGTTCATTTTTTGGCCAACAATTTTATTCCCTCTAAATTTAGCATATTTTACACGGATCTAGATTAAGTGTATTTTACATCGTTCAAGTAACCTTTATGTACAAATCCATTATATACACCCGTCTACTAGATGCTTTTAAAACTAAATGCATGTAGCATTGCAAAATGAACATAACTGTGACAGAACACATGCTACGCTTACGTTATACATGTATGTCAAAATTCACCTAACACAAAAATTGCATGTCTGCAATATATTGCATCCCAGTTAGTAAAATCGACTAACACGCTTCTCAACTAACACAACGTACAATCCGTGCAAGCCCAAGTGTCCGATCTCGAGGTGGCAGTACTCCATTACGACTAGTGATCGATATTGGTTTAAATGTAAGTAGATTTTATGTTATGAGGCTGTACGTAAATCAGTATTTTTCAAATATTTTCTATGTAGTAAAAAAAGCTCATGTTAGTTATCCCTGTCACACATTCATACTGTAGGCCCACACTCACATGCTCACACACACACACACACACACAAAACAAAAACATTTGAGAGTTTTAAATTAAAGTAACACCAATACTTGAGATTAATACATTTTTTCTCGCCTTTTTTATATTAGTGTAGGCCTACAATCCCCCGCTTTATCAATAAGTGTACAATTCCAAGAAATATGTCTTTTGTGTTAGTAGGCTACAAATTAGTAGGTTCTGGTAGTAGACCTAGATAATGGAAATTTTTACCCTGAAACTGACAATAGATTTACAGTCCCGCAGAAACAATAGGAGGAAAAGGAAATTGTTTTGGGATGGAGGTATAGTGGCATTCTAATATAGAAAATACGATGTTGTAAGAGGGGTGAATGGAAATAACAAATACAGTATCTGTAACATTTTCAATTATATGTTATATATTTTACTCCAGAAACCATCTCAATGACATCGAGAATATCATTCCATTCGTATTGGCCGGAGTCCTCTACGTGCTGATCAAACCAAACCCATGGGTAGCACTGATGCATTTCCGTACATTCGCCTTTGCCCGATTTGCCCATACAGTCGTGTATCAATTCGCCGTCCCGCCTCCGTCACGCTCATTGTGTTTTCTGATTGGTTACTTCACAACTATCTCCATGGCTATACAAGTTGTTATGGCGACGTTTTAAATCACTTGGGAGTGACCAAAGACAAGTTTTTTTCTTTTTGAAAGAAAGAGCAGTGTCCGATTAATGAGTTATCTTTGGAGATGAAGCGTTTTGAAAAAAAGGATGGCAAAGCAGTTTGAAGGACATGGCACCTCATTTCTGAGTTATATTTTTTTATTGTTTTTCAAGTGTAGCTATTAACTAAAGATATTTCAGAAAAAAAACATATAGGCTACTGGACTAGTATATCCAGATGTTTCACTTTTGATCCATATGTTTAGAAGTAAAAGAAAAAAATCAGTATCTTTTATAAACAGATGAAGTTTGTTCGATGATGTAGTATGCATTGCCTATAAAATACTTTAGAAGACTGCACAACTTTCTTGTCTGAAAGATAACCATTTTAGTGTGAATAATTGTAGTTTCTGCTACAGACAATATAAACTGTAAATGTTTGTTACTATGACTGACAAGAAAAAATAAAGCTCAGATGCAAAGATTGATTTATTCATTAAATATTCGACTTTTATCAACTTTATTTACTGCACGGACACGGCAATAATTTTTCATTGACTTCAGCGCCCTCTAGCACTGATTACTGGAAGATTACCTTGAATGAACCCATATAATTTGAATATTTGTGATGTTAAAAGCAAAGAAAGGTTGTCGGGGACAATGGCAAACGATGACAGAATCTTGAAAAACAGCTTCAGCTGAGTTATTACTATTCCAATATTACAGCTGTTGCATTCATGTGACACAATTAATGAAACACTTTGCTGGACACAAAAGAAGTACTCGAGCTGTCTGCGTCTAGCTAGACCTAGGAATCGATACCATTTATGACTGTTCCTACTTTCAAGGGGCTTTGTTACAATTTGTCTCGGATCCGTATGTTCTAAATAAATTTCTGAAATTAAAAATTAATATTCTTTCAATTTGAACTCGATCAGAGGTATAAATAGTCTACATGATGATTTCGCCAAAAGTAATAACATTTTTATCTTGTGAATAAAGAACCAGGCGTTATAGGCATATTCACACTTCATTTATCGTCACCACTTTTTGTTACTTTCTCTTCGAGAGCACTTACTCTGCTTCTGACTTTTACAGATATTATTATGTTCAGTCAGCATAGCGTATTAAACCTCCTTCTCCATTAACAAGTGCATCGACGCTCGCGTGCTCACCACAGAGTAAAAATTCCCGAATGAACTTTCGACCTGGAACGTGGTCGGTTTAATTTTCGATTTCACGTATGACCTGTCACTCAAAGTGAAATGAATCTGGCAATCAACTATTATCTGTAAATGTCAGAAATCCCTACAGGAACTATATTAGTATATTACATGTGCATGATAATAGTTCATGTGGTACTCAACGTGACACACTGAATCTGAAATTCTGAGTGTCTCGAAAGAGGGATTTTTTAAAGCGTGATAAGTCTCTCAATGTATTTCCTGAATGTGGTAAACAAAAGGAAATGAATGCTAGAATGGATAAACACTTAATACCCATTAGGATATAACGTCTCAGCACAGGTCTCCCCCCCCCCCCCCAAAAAAAAATCATAGTGTAAACTAGATGAGTTAAAATCTACCCTAGGGTTCTAGATAAGGCTAATACTGCACCCATCCACAATTTGGCTGGAAGGCTAATAAAGTTTTGCCCCCGATATTTCATTTCTTCTCCATTGTTCGGCAAGACTGCGAATTAATCTTAATCAACAAACGTTTTTGTGTGCACGGCAAGCACGTTTAAAAGTGTCCTATCTGTCTTCTTATCAGAGATCAGTGCTCGACCAATTCCTCCACTCAGATTTATGTTTTTTTACATTATTAATTGGATGATTTTCTGTACATTTAAGAAAGAAAATATCGACGGCAGCTACTTTTATCTGATGGGATTTATTGATTTTAAAATCTAAAATTGGAAAAGTTAAGCAGCTTTGCGGATTATCAAGACAAAGAAACTAAAATATTTATTTGGGACATTTTAAAAGCATATAGTACACATATTTAATGTTTTTAGTTACAAAATTCTGTGGAAGCATGATTTGTGCGCGCGTTGTATACGCTCTCGCGTGCTTGCGGTTGAGTGCACATTATACGTGCGCGTATTCTCCCATAAAAGGGCGCGTGCGTGTAATAAAGAACTTAATCAATATATAAGAAGTAACACATTCTGCTTTTTAACGTCTGTTATGCGCATATAAACTTAGAGCGAAAACCAAGTCTACTCAATACCAACTTATAGAGTGAACTGAGTTATGCAAGGTATGTCTCCAATTACCTTTATGCTATTTCAGAAGCCATTGTTTTTACATGTTAAGCTACAAATGCTTAGTTTTGCAGTGTGTTAGCTTATAGAGGCTTATGACTAACTAGTGTCGTAATTATTATCTAAATACGCATATCGAAATGCGCTCTTTATTTTACCTTCTTTCATTTAAGGTATTAGTACAATTTTTCTTTTCAATTTTGTTAACAATGATAAATTGTAAACAATTATTTACTAAGTTGATCTTAATTCTCCATTTTTTGTAGAAATCACTTGAATGACATCGAGAACATCGTCCCATTCGTCCTGCTGGGTGTCCTTTACGTGTTGATCGAACCGACTGCATGGGTGGCCCTGCTGCACTTTCGTGTATTCGCATGCGCTCGGTTCCTGCACACCGTTGCTTACCAGTTTGCCTTGCCGCAGCCAACGCGTTTCTTGGCTTGTATTATAGGCTGGGTCTGCACGGTGTCGATGGGAATGCAAGTTTTAAAGGCCACAGTGTAATACGCTGGAATTGTACCGTGTATGTGCCCTGACAGACACCCAGCTCTTGTCTACTGAACAGAATCATATTGCATTTATCTTTGTTTAACTGCACTGGTAGAGACTGCTAGTAGTAATTACACTTCACAGTACGGTTGACAATGTTTTTTCTTAGCATAAGGAAATATATAAATGATTTTAATTGAGCAATTTGCAAGTAAGAAAACGCATGCTACTCCAGAAATGAGACATTAAAAATATTAAATTTTATACTGCGGATCCAGAGATGTATTTGTGGGTTCACTCCGTATCCATTTAGTCTTAATATAACGTTTATTAACAGCGTATTTAGTCGTGGTATCTAAGGACCATAGAATGCATTAGACAACTAGAATCTTAGATTTTATTCTGCAGATCCAGAGAAACATATGCACATGTGTGACTGCACTTCGTAGCCATTTAGTCTTGTAATAACGTTATAAACAGCATATCGAGTCGTTGTTTCCAAGGAACATAGAGTGACATTAGAGAACTATGGCTACTATTTCAAAGACAAGACCAGTTCTGTAGGGTGTTATGTTTCTGGGGGGGGGGTCTTTTGGACGGGAAATTGAACCTATATTTTGCACCACTTTGCATTTTAACTAATTACAAGAGGATTAAATGCTTTCATATTTACAGAAAAAGATCCCTCTTTTACATCCTGGCTAATGGCCCGCAAAGCTCTTTTATTATATTGACTGTAAACTATTTTGATACATTTCATGCGCGCACACCAAGTGGGACGTATTAAACATTGCTCTGCTTTTTGATAATGAAACATTTGTACACTTCGACCTTTGTAAGGGTCTATTTGGATGGAAACATATCTAGTTTAAGAGGTCGAAATAAGTCTCAGTTTCATTAGAAGCATACGTTGTTTATTTGCTCAAAGTGTAATACATAAGATATTATCGGTAGTTACCGAATTTCGTCGACTTAATTGATTTAAGATAATTTGCTAAACGTGCCGCTGTTGCGTGAAAGGAAATTGGATTGTGGTTGGATTACTTTGGTATTTAGGGTTTAGTGTGTGTTCAGTTTTCTGTGTGTGTGTTCGTGCCTTAGGGGGGTGGGGGCGAACTTATTTTTGTAGCACTTCTCTCAATACTGTATGTATACCTGTAAAAAGCATTTTATAGAGAATTTTCGAGTTTTTTCATTTGAATTATATTAATATGCACCGTGTTTTTGAATTGTAACTGCTATATTTTTAACAATAAATGGCTAAGTAATAAATTCCTAAATTGTTAGTATTCGCTGCCATATTTTCAGATATTACACCCGATACCCTGTCTGTCAGCTTGAAAAGATGTCACGAAAAAGATTTCGAAACAAAGTTGGCCTCTCCTTTTATTGATTTTTCACTTTGCAACTTTATGGATTTCTTTCTTAAGAAGAAAAGAGAAAAGAAGAAAGTAATGGACTGATTTGTTTTTGATATACCACTGGCTCATCAATTGAACAATTTACTTCCATCATCCTGTTCCATCAAATAAAGCAATCTCCACAGTTTATCTTTTGTCATTAAATTCCGTTAGGCTATCACGTCTACTCAAGTTTAAGATCCCTTTTATAGAAAAATGCTTTGCGCTGTAATTTTGCAACTGAGGGCAGTTTATCAAGCCTAATTTAAGGCTTTCAATATATTTAGATTTGATGGAGACGCAATTTTCTTACTGCTCAATGTTTTCTCGCTAGCTGTCCACGTACCCGTCTGTCTGGCAATCCGTCCATCTGTATGTCTGTTTATTTGTCTTAACACGTAGATGCATGGTTCTTTATACAATGTAATCTTGTGCACGTGTTAGTGGTGGGGGATAAAGAGAGAGAGAGAGAGAGAGAGAGAGAGAGAGAGGATGAGAGCCAGAGAGCAAAACCAGACAAACAAAGGTTTGATTGAATTGTAGATTCTTTATCACCAAGAGCGTGCTCAAGATCAAAAAACAAAAGCATTGTTATTTGATATATCAATAGCGATTTCTTCACTGCAAAAAAGGTACCCCATCCCTTCCAGGTGAGCTCATGGTAATAAACATTGAACAAAAAGACTTTAGGATGACATCGGGCCTAAATTTATTTAGGGTTCAACCTGGATGGATAATATAAATACTGTTAAGTCACTTTTATAATCAATCGTGTCCTCTTTATTTCCAGAAATCACCTGAATGACATCGAGAACATCATCCCGTTTGTCCTGTTGGGAACGTTCTACGTCCTGATCAAGCCAAACCCTTGGGTGGCACTTATGCACTTCCGGGCATTCGCAGGCGCAAGGATCTTCCACACCATAGCGTACCAACTCGCACTGCCCCAGCCTTCTCGCGCGTTAGGGTTTCTCGTCGGCTACGGAATCTGCATGTCGATGGCAGGACAAGTGCTGATGGCTACTTTTTAAAATGAGGAAATCCCTGAATACTCTTTAGTAGAGAATAGAAGCTATATGTCTTTTAAAGCTTACTGGTATTGCGTTAATGAACATTAACTTTTCACTTTCTACACAGACATAATCCCAGACTATTAATTTGAATTTAGTATTAATTATAACAAACCCATCACTTTTTTATTTGCCATTTGTGAGAGAAACTTGGGTAAATTGTAAGACTCTTCTTGGTCTGCTTTTTTATGATGTAGTTTAGAATGATTTGATATTAGAATTGCAACATAAATAAATATATATACACAATAATGTATTACACAATCAAACGCAAAATAAACGATTTTGACGTTTTACGGAGTTTTTGCTTTTGTTATCAAAATAAATAGCTATGTTGTAACGCAAAGGGTACAGTTTTTTTGATCAAAGAAACAAAATAAATATCACACCCGAATCTACTGGTGGCAAAGTCTTAATTTCAGCCAAAATCCAATTTGAAATTTAGATGAAAACCGAGGCATTGCAATAATTGGATTCTGGTCGAAAATTAACATTTCCACACAGGGCCACAGATGATTCTAATGCAATCAAACATAATTAAGTTTAACATTAAATTTGAATATTTGAATATTCATGTTGTCTTTGTGATACTGGGGCAGGGGGAGGGGGGGTCCTATTTAAATTACGTGCCAGTGTCACCAAAAAGCATATGTCTTTAGTTAGTCTCAATTTTAAGAATTGGCCAAATTCTGAACAGTCGTAACAACTTTGGAGGAAAAATAACAATTTTTGCATTTTGTGAAATGGTTCGGATGCTTACTTTCAATAAGGAAAAAAACACATATTGACAACTCGGTATTTGCTTTGACTCTTGAGATTCAAAGATAGGTCGTATCGTCTTTTGCCGTTATCTATACCCGGAAAACAAGAACAGATAAAACCTCGGAACACAATGAAATCGTCCTGTGTATAGATAATATTGGTTCTTATATTTCACCATACAATTTATTAAATTCAACAGTGCGTTTTAAGTTACGGAAATAGAACAATACTTATACAATTTATCTAAACCAATGATCGGCTTGAATAATTTGCTTCCAAGATAGTAAGATGACATTATAGCCCAGCGTTGCCACGGTTTGGTATTTGGCTGGCATTGGTTTTCCAATGAAGGGCCAACTTTATGGAAACGCCGCCCTTTTAAAGGATGGCAAGCCAACCTTGTGCAAAGGTCGGCCTCTGAGATAAACTAGTGGCCTGATGTCAGATCAATGACTATAATTTGGTAAATTATCACTTTGTTTGACTTACAGACGTTGGGCCAACTTGGGCTAATGTCGCCTTTCTTTCTGGGCTTACAATAACGACAACAATGTATAAAATGTAACATTTAACGCACAATATTTGCCAATGGTGCATATGGTGGCAATGAGCGAATATCTTATTTACACGTGACATATTTTGATAAGACACAAGCTAGTATTTAATCGTTTAAAATAAGTGAGTGCAATATGCCTATTATATAGCTGAAAAAATAACATCTGACATAAGCATAAATATATCATACAGTGTATAACAGCAATGGCCCACAGATACCTAAGACTTACTGATTTAATTGACTGTTTGATACACGTATCTACAACACAGAATGAATCTTGATTTTTCTGGCGTTAATAAATACATTCAATTAAGTTGTTGACATCTTCTCTGGCTTCAAATTAAACCGTAGTTAGAATACATAACGTTGACTGTAACGAATCAGAAGATAAACATGAGTTATATGTGCGTAATTATCAGTCTCGCACTCACACCTATTTTGAACAGTATAGAATCATGGGTTTGAACGATCAGTGGCGTCAACCCCAATTCTTTAAACAATCAAATAGGAAATAATCCCAGACTTGTATTAATCAGACGACAAGGTTGTCGGAATGACAAAGATGTTGCAAAATTTGATGTTTAGCTTGGAGTACCATAGCGTTAAGGGCATTAAATTATTATAACCGAACAGACAATATTAATAATTTTATAATAAAGCAATGAGATCTACCACGTCTAAACAGGAGTGGTTGCTGTCACTGGCGTCTGTCGGGCTTGCGCCATATGCTCAGCGAGGGGAATGAACAAATTACCTGGTCGTGGACGGGGACGTTTGCCCATCAGCCGAAAAAACCCTTTCCTCACATCTGGCATTCGAACCCCGTAAATAATCGGGTCCGCCAGCGTTATCACCAGTATCAGACAAATTGCCGTATGGACAAGAACATTCTTGCACTGGACATCGCAGTTGGTCATTTTAACCAATTTGACCAAAGCCACCGCGACGACCCATGGTCCCCAACTGACCAGTAACGTGGCATAAAGCATGACGAAAGTGACCGCTGATTTAAATTCCCTTTTGGAATTAACTCGGGTGCCTACGTAACGGTGCCTTTTTATCTCAACAAATATCTTTACATACAGACACAGTGAAGCTACCAAAATGGCTGCACAAATTCCACCGTTAATATATATCAAAGCTTTGGGAAAGCCAAAGTCACAAAATATTCCAGAGCCAAGATTTGCCATGCTAATGAGAAGGGCGACCAGCCCTTTACCAATTGTAACCCCCCAAATACAGGCAACTATAACGCACGCCCTCTCCCTTGTTATAGACAACGAATACCTCAAAGGCGCACATACGGCTACAAACATATCCAACGCCAAAGCCAGAACTGTAAACCCAGAAATCTCAAAGAATGTCAAGAAAAACGTGTTGATTAGACTATCACACAGTTGTAAACCAAGATTATGTAAAATATCAATGATCAACACGAAGATTAAATTCGCGAGATCAGTTAAAGCTAGGTTCATGATAAGAATCAATTTTGGTTTGAAAGGCCTTGGAACACAGGCCAACGCAGTCAGAGAGACGCCATTTGCAATCAGACCAATTCCACAAAACACGTAAAATAGGACCGCCAGACCTATAAATAGGGAATGGTTTTCATCAGTCTGCCAGTCTCCGTCACCACTAGAGTTATCAAAAGCGCTGATGTTATCTTTGTTGCGTTGCCATAACGCAAAAGTGAGAATATCGTCTTCTGTCACCAAAGCTAGACTTGTAGCGTTACCATTTGAATACAAGGACGTCATGATGCACAGAAAAAAAACCTTCACAAAAGTCACTCGACCCTCAATTTTCACCTCGTTACCTATAAACCAACAGCAGAGACCAAGTGGCAAAACTAACGCTACATTTAGTTTGTTTTTGTATTAAGGAACTCTGACATACGTTGTAACAAAGTTGTTGTAGGTCAGCGTTTTCTCACAATATAAGAGCATCTATTTATATTTCTTTTAGTTTTGTAAATTAAGAAATATAAAACAACTTCAAACAGAATGACCAGGCGTGCTCGACTGACCCAACCGCCGCAGCATTCGGGTACCTGTATAAGTTCACGTGTAGTAACTGGTCGTTGAAAACTGATTTCAGGTATCGCTGTTTCGGCGTGAAATGCTCACAGTGTCCGCTCAATATTATAACCCGTTCAAAAGCTGATTGCCTTAATCAAACAGAGAGTCGTTGCAATTACTGCAAGCAACGCGTCCACCGCAAACTGCAAATTTGTTCCACCTCTTGATTATCGACAGCTGTCAGATTTGTTTGGAAATTAATCAATCTTATTACATAAGTCGATAATGGAATCATGCGTTTTGAACATCCATCCATCCATGGATGTGTTACGGCATATGTTAATGTAGAGGGCCAAGCCAGTTAAGAATAGCGCAACATCACGTAACGTCAAACTATATATTGGTTACAAGGTTATGAAGCAGTTGGTCCGATCTTGCGGTTTTGTTATTTTCAGCAGCTGAATCAATTATGGTGCACGGGCATTACATTATGCCATTAGATAAAGGATACCACAGTCAATCAACCTTGTGAGTGTTTTCTCCGCTGTGTCTTCTGTGAAGAAGTTCTTGTGAGATTACAGTGACTGAACTTCGATTCCCAAAGGTCGATGTATTGCAGGTCGCTCAATTCCCAAACCATTAAGGATTATACAGTTCTTAAGTTCTCACATTCCGCCCCATCTTTCCATTGTCTTAATTACCAGTGATTGGCATGCACGTGCGTTCTTTTATTTATTTTTCAGACTCTTCAAAGGATACGGCGATGTTGATGTTATTTCAAACAAGTTCTGTCCGTTCAAAGAAGAAAAATCAGAACGATGTTCATATGTTTAGCCATAATAACGCTTGTATTAACATGTAACGTTTCTGGAATCTGTAAGCGAGAACATATGGTTTTTCTTGCTTCAACGCTTAGGCGTCAAATGAAACCGTGTGCTCTAGGAAAACTGTGCACTGAACGTAACAACTAATAAAGTATTGATTTCCGCTGTGTTTAACAACAAATTAGCCCACCCCTTTTGAACCTAGAGGCAGATTTGGCAACCAAATGTTGGGATAGTCTCCTTTGACATATACACAACACCCAGGCGTTTTTTCCAAAGATATAACTTTGGTAATCTATAATGTTTTCCTCGTGAACTTATAATGGAGAGAATCCTGCTGCGATGGGCTGGAAATATGATTTTCGAATGAATTGCCTGAAGAAACTTGCAAAGCAATCCAAACAGAATCCGAGAAACCAATTTAGATCCTGAAGTTGCTCATCAAAACAGAGCAAATTATCTCGACTTTTCTTAGAAATTCACCTCATGTTCGAAAGGACAATTGGTTAGCTTGTCATTTCCTCTTTACTCTTTTCTTTGTGTCATTTGTAGAAATATCCCAAATGCTAGATATAGCCAAGTTGGCGGTCCTTGATGTTTAAAGAAATCCAAAAATACCATACACCTGGAGGCTTTGATTGTATATAATTGATGCAACGAACCTAAAGCATAAAAACTTAACAGGAGGCAATTGGAACAGCGTGTAACGTCAAATGCCTTGTGCTCTTGCACAAAACCTCTCCATTTTCCAAAGATATCAATCATTAAGTACTCACAGAGATCACATTTTATCCCTAAAGAAGACAACAGGAAGCAGATTCTCTAGGTCTTGACAAAAGTTGCTGTCGAATTAAACAGTGGGTGTACGGATTTACATCGACCGTCCCATTACAAACTGGAATCATCTTCGATGAAATCATGAAGTACTAGTTAAGCTGAGTGTGAGCAGATCACATACTGTTTTATCTCATCGCTCAGAAAGGTGTGTTTTTACATTCCTCCCCAATGTAAACAGTTCAATAAACAGTTTAAAAAGCCCGTCAATAAAATAACGCAGGTCGATAATAATCCTAGACCATCTAGTATTTGAATATTGTGTTCAGATCCTCCTTATTAATACCGATGTTTCCATTTCG